GAATAGAATAGAATAGAATAGAATAGAATAGAATAGAATAGAATAGAGTTCTTTATTGGCCAAGTGTGATTGCACACACAAGGAATTTGTCTTGGTGCAAATGCTCTGAGTGTACATAAAAGAAAAGAGACATTTGTCAAGAATCATCAGGTACAACACTTAGTGATAGTAGAATAAAAGAGAATTGGAGAGAATAGAACAGAGCAGAACAGAATAGAATAGGATAGAATAGAAAAGAATAGAACAGAATAGAATAGAACAAAATAGAATATAAATATGGAAGATTAGAATAGAAATAGAATAGAATAGAATAGAATAGAATAGAATAGAATAGAATAGAATAGAATAGAATAGAATAGAATAGAATAGAATAGAATTCTTTATTGGCCAAGTGTGATGGACAAACAAGGAATTTGTCTTGGTTCAGATGCTCTCAGTGTCCACAAAAGAAAAGAGACATTCGTCAAGAACCATCATTAATAATAGTCAGAGTACAATAAGCCATCAAATCATACTAGGAAACAGTCATAAATCATAAATCGTAAGGATACAAGCCACAAAGTCACAGTCATACAGTCACAAGTGGGAGGGGATGGGCGATACGGAGTGTTGAGAAGATTCATAGTGATCGTGCAGGCTTTATAAATAGTTGGACGGTGGATTGATGGAGAGAGGAATAGGTGGATGGATGGAGAGCGAGATGGATGGGTGCATGGAACAGCCTCCCTCTCGGCGTTTTGAGTGCTCTCATCACCGGAGGACTTCGAGAAAAGTTTGGCCAGCCATTTATCTGGGATGGTATATAAGGTCTCCTAGTTCGGAGAGAGGTTGGACTAGAAGACCTCCAAAGGTCCCTTAGGATCCTACGGTTCCGGCACCTTTCCTTAACCCCGGCCTTACGTATTTCGTAATGATGGGAATTCTGACCATCTATACCTCATACAAGGAGAAGAGCATCTTTCTGGTAGCGCACCGGAAAGACCCCACGGGAATGGACCCTGACGACATCTGGCAGCTTTCCTCAAGTCTGAAAAGGTAACACACACACACACACACACCCAGACTCCCCCCCCCCCCCCCCCCAGGACTCACCAAAGTCTGGCTTGAAGGACGAGGGTTGCGGGGTGGGGAAATCAGGCCAGCTCCCAGAAACCTCCATCGAGAAGAAGGTTAAATGAAAGTTGTCCTGCGCTGACCCTGCCCCCCAAAACAGTTCGGATCGCAAACTCAGCAGAAGTCTTCCAACCTCCTCTCCTCTCGACCTACGGTTCAGTGACCGGTCATTAAGCGAGGAGTACCTCTATCACCGGGAGCTCACGAATTGAATTGAATTGAACCCTTTTATTCTTTATTTTTACCTGTTTGTTTTTGTTCTGTTTTTTTTTCTTTATTTTGCTTATTGCTTACTTTATATTTTATTTTACTTCGCATTTTATGTCATTTGTTATTTTCTGTTTTATTTCGTTTTCTATTTTAATATTTAATGTTATATTTTATTCATTTTGTATTTTATATATATTTTTTTTATGTTGTATGATTTTATGTTTTGTATTTTATATTATTTATGTTATGTTATGTTGTATTTTATATTTTGCATTTCTCCAGTGTGCTCTTTCAATTTTTTTCATTTTATAGTTTATTCGTCATTTTACCTTATTTTATCTTATTTTATTTTATGCTGTATTATTTTTTATTTTGCCTTTTTATTTTATTTTATATCTTGCTCATTTTTTATTTTGTCTTTTTTTATGCTATATTGTAGTTTTATTTTGCTTTCTATTTCATATTCCATTGCTTTATGTTACGTGGTTTTGTATTTTAATATTCTATTATTTTATGTTACTGTCAACTCATAAAATATTTCTATGGTCTTTTTAGAGTTGTCAACAGAAAGAGGCAGGGGGGCATTGCAGCAGTTTGTGCATTCCACAAATGTTTTCAAAGATAGTAACTAGGGGACTGAAGCTTCTGCCGTGCAAAATTCTACCCGGAGAGCCTGGTGGACGACTCTGGGCTAGGGAGGTGTCCCATTGGAGGATATGAATTAGGATACACCCAGGGGGTGAAGGGCAAACCGGGGTCAAGGGTGACAATGAATGATGTGTCTCAGAGTCGGTTACACCCAGGCAGTGCCGGACACGTTAATTCCCAATAAATCCTTTCTTAAGTTTTGGAAGTTTGGCTCGAGACTCAGGATTTAAATGCGGGGGAACTGCCGGAATCCTGACAGCTAGACTGTTTTTATAATTTATATTTATTTCATTTCAGTCGATTTTTAGAAAGTGAGCCCCCCCGTTTTCCCCGCTGGATGGTCCTTGACCCCGTCCTCTCTGTTTTCTCCTCCCTTTTTGCAGGTTTGACGACAAATACAGCCTGAAGATGACCTTCATCAGTGGCCGAAGCAAGCAGCAGCCGAGGGAGGCCGAATTCACCCGCTCCATCGCCAAATTCTTCGACAGCAATGGGACCTTAGTAATGGAAACCTTTGAGCCCGAGGTCTCCAAGCTCCACGACAGCCTCCTGATGGAAAAGAAGCTCAAGTAGGCTGCTGGCCACCTTCCCACTTAGATCACGCTGAGCTTTCAAAGTCAATAAAGCAATCGAAGCCAACGCGAGACCCTCCCTTCTTTCTCTCTCCCTTCCTCGGCCCATCTCTCTTTTGAGCAAAAAAAAAAAAAAGGACTTTAATCCAGCACCGGCCAAGTCCAAAACTCACGGCCTAAGTTTTGGGTTGGTTTGGTTTCCCTTGAGACCACCACGGATGTCCAATCTGGAACCGCTTATAAGACTGGTGGACCTCAACGTCTAGAATTCCCCAGCCGTGTGGAATTCTAGACGTTGAAGTCGTCGTCCCCCCGTCGTCGTCCCCGGTCTTAAAAGTTGCCCAAAGTCCACAACCTCTTCTTTTAAGATCGACGACCTCGGTGCCGTCAGAGCTTGGCGATTTTCTGGCCTTTTCTGTCCTAACCAAAGTAAGCAAAGCTCATCTGTGTACAAGCATTCCCACCCCCACCTCACTTCCCCTTCCAGCGACTGACGTCGTTCCCTAGTTGGGTCATGAAACGTCCGCCAGAAAATCGCCCAGGTCTAAGAGAGCACCAAGGACCACCACCACCACCCTCGCAGTTCGACCCTGAACGGCTATACATTGTTAATTCTTTGGGAACTCGGATTTTTCAAAGCAATTTGGGGAATGAGAAAAGTTGAGCCTCCATTTTTTTTTGTGGGGGGGGGTGGTGTTAAATTTTATTTTTATTTTATTTTAAGATAGTGAAGCCCTAATAAGGCCGTTCTGCAGGCATTGTCAAAACAATCAAAGGCTGAATTGGAACTTGATTTCGACAGAGAACGACTGCTTAGTTAATTCTGGCTGTGGTTTTCAATTATGTCTGTCGTTGAACCGATTTGTCAAGGTTCAATTTTCTTTTTTTAAAAAGGTCTGTTTTGGGGAGGTGGGATTTGACTTAGAGATTTGAAGATTGCAGGTAGTCCTCAACTTACGACTGCAATTGAGCCCCAAATTTCCTGTTGCTGAGTGAGATATTAAGTGACCCCTGCCCCATTTTACAATCTTTCTTGCCACCGTTGTTAAGTGAATCATTGAAGCTGTTAAGTTAACTTCGACAGTAAATGAACTGTTGTAAGTCGAGGACGGACCTGGCAAAGGAAAAATGTGAAGATTTAAAAAATATTTTCCAACTCTGCATTGTCCCTTTTTTGGTGCATTTTATCCGTGCAGTAAAAAAAAAAAAAAAGAGGTAAAAAACTCTCTTGTTTCTTGCATAAACTGCCATTTTCTAAAAATAGTGTTTTTTTCCTCCCCCCAATAAAAGACAGAAACTTAACATGGCAATTGTGGAATTGTTCGTGAGTGGAATACACAACGTTGTCATTTATTTTTTTGTAGATTGTAATTCTAATTATTTTCACATGCATCCACATAAGGCTGATCTGAGTCACTTGGCAGGGATTTAGAAGAAATTTCATTCACAGCTTTGTTTAAAGCCCAAAGCTTTAATAAAAGCTATAAATGAATTGTGTGATTATAAATATTGTAAGAAAAAATAAAAAGAGAGAGAGAGACAATTCAGTGTTGCGGTTAAGGCCTCGGGTCAGAAACCAGAAGGCTATGAGTTCTAATCCCATCTTGGGCCAGAAAGGCGACTGGGCGATTGGGCCAGCCACTTTCTCAGAGCCCTAGGAAGGAGGCAATGGCAAATACCTCTGAAAAAGGTAGTCAAGAAAACTCCAGCCTCTGAGAATCAGACACCATGGAATGGGAGGGCAAAAATTTAAAAAATAATATCACGGAAGAAATTACCAATTTGCAATAGAGGCACGCGTATGTTTTTTTTTTTAAGACAATCGCAGTGCAAAACTGGGATATTTTTCATTCCTGCTAGAATGCTTGTTTTGTACTTTCCGTGTTTCGATATTTACACACCGCAGTCACGTAGAGAATTGCAGGTGGGGAGCTGCTCTAAAGCAGCCCTTTAAGGAACGCACCTTGAAATAAGTAATAAAAATACCTTGGTGTTTCTTTAAAATGATTACGGACAGCAATTTAGTTATAATTTTGACTGGGAGTTCGGGATCAGTAAAATATTAATAGTCTCCCTCATTAGACCTACCGTCTTTAAAGGATGTCAGAAGGCCGTGAAAAGATGAAACAATGTTAGTGTTACTTTTAAGTTAACGGAAGTGACACTAATCTTTTTATTCCCTTCAGGGTGGGGTCAGCAGATGCATCTCTAACCACTGTGCAATGCTGCTGGCGATGGGCACATCCCTCCCCATCTGTCAGGTGTTTGGGATTCACAGCACGTAACTGTCTGTGTTGTGGTTCATTGGCAGCCTGTCCAGACGGCTGCGGAATCGGACAGTGGGAAGAAAGGTTAGGGAATCTGGAGAGGACTCGGACGAGGGTCCTGCATTTGATGCAGGGATGGGGCCAGGACCATCTGGGAGTGGGATGCTGCCATTGGAGCCTTCGGAGTCTGGCAGCAGTGAGGCAGAGGACCCAGGGGAGCCTGTTCCCAGTGCGCACATGCGCAGAGCTGCTAGAAGGCGAGAGCAGCTGAGAGAAAAGGGGCGATTCGGAAGTAAGGCTGGGAAGTGATTGGCCCCTCCCATAAGACATAAAGGACAGGCAAAGGTGAAGAAACCTTTGCAGGAAGCAAAGTCGTTCGGATTAAACCTGGAAGCTCTGTACTTCGGTTGGGTTGTTTTTTTTCTAGTTCATTGGACACTTCTGTTCTTGGCAGCACTTCACTGGACAGAAAGGTGGGTGCTTATCTCGAGGGACTGTTTGAGAATTCCCTACCAGCTGGGAATGAAAATAATTCCCAGCGTTGCAATAAAACAAGACTTGTTTTTAAAATGAGCGTGTGTTCGTAATTACGGTCTTGGAAGCCTTGGTCAGAACAATCTGCGGAGCTTCTCAGTCATCCAGGTCATGGTTGGCCCAAAGGTGCTTTTGTCAAAATGCAACTGGACTTTTTTTGTTTTTTTCTTCTTCCTTGAAGACGTTTTGCTTCTCATCCAAGAAGCTTCCTTCGGTTCTGACTGAAGAAGCTTCTTGGATGAGTCAGAAGCGAAGGAAGCTTCTTGGATGAGAAGTGAAACGCCTTCAAGGAAAAACAAAGTCCAGTTGCCTTGTGACAAAAGCACCTTTGGGACAACCTGGACGACTGAGAAGACATTTTTCTCCAATTCTCCAGATCTTGAAAACTTTCCTCGAAAACCTCCAGCAAATGGAGCACCGCTGTCCACCCCGAGCTTTTGCGATGGGCACTTAGCTGATGACGGCTCCTCGGTGGACCACTCCGGATCCATTGGTTCCCTCCGCAAAACTCTGGGCTCCTGTATTCCTTGCGTTTCCTTGTTTCAGACTTAGAACATAGGGGCAACTCTAAAAAGGCCGCGCCGGACACGTGAACTCGCCATCAATCTTTTTGAAATGTTGGGGAGTTGGTCTCCAGACTCGTGTTTTAATCCTGACGCAGAATATCAGAGCTGGAAAAAGGAACCTCGGAGCAAGTGGTAGGATGCTGCCGGTTTAACAAACCGGTTCGGTGAGCGTGCGCATGTCTTAAGGCGCTTGCACTGAAAAATGGAGCGTTTAGAAGCTCGGCTGCCTACCTTCCAAGTCAGCTACGCTAAGTAGAACGGCGAGGTACGTGTGTGTGCGTGTGAAATCAGCTGTGCCGCATGATTGAGATCCGCCGCAAAGCAGAAGATATAGGACGGGGCCAACTGATCGTTGGAACAACCGGTTCGCTTGAACCGGTGCAAACCGGCCGCATCCCACCACTGCCTTGGAGGTCTTCTGTCTAGTCCAACCCCCCCACCACACACACCCGCTTGACGACTAGACTGTTTCAGACAGGCAGCTGTCCAGTCTCTTCTTCACTTCCTCCAGACGAGCTTCCTTGGATCCTACCAGTTGTCCTGTGAACAGCCCAGGAGATACAGAACATCTTGTCCCCTTCTGGGTTTGATTTTGGTTTGAAGTGGCAACATCTCCTAATTAAAAATAATAACAACCCCAGAAGTCTTGATCTTCTATTGATGTAAGGTTCCAGAGATAGAAAACTGGCTATGAATCCTTTCCTTCCTTCCTTCCTTCCTTCCTTCCTTCCTTCCTTCCTTCTTTCCTTCCTTCCTTCCTTTTCCCCTTCCTTCCATCCATCCATCCATCCATTTATATCCATCCATCCATAGCTATCTATCTATATCATATCATTATCTATCTATCCATCCATCCATCCATCCATCCATCTATAGCTATCTATATATCATATATCATATCATATCATATATCTTTATCCATCCATCCATATCTGTCTGTCTATCTATCTATCTATCTATCTATCTATCTATCTATCTATCTATCTATCTTATCTATCTATCATCTATCTCTTTCTATCTATCTTCTATCTGTCTATCTCATTTATCTATCATCTATCTATCATCTATTTATCTCATTTATCTATCTATATCTATCTACCTATCTATCTATTGATCTATCTATTGATCTATCATCTATCTAATTTATCTATCTCATTTATCTATCATCTATCTATCTCATTATCTATCACAATCTATCTATCTCATCTATCTATTGATCTATCTATCTATCTATATCTCATCTATCTATCTATCTTATCTATCTATCATCTATCTCTTTCTATCTTTCTATCTTCTATCTGTCTATCTATCTCATTTATCTATCTATCATCTATCTATCTCATTTATCTATATCTATCTATATCTATCTATCTATCTATTCATCTATCTATCATCTATCTATCTCATCTATCTCATTTATCTATCATCTATCTATCTCATCTATCTATCACAATCTATCTATCTATCTCATCTATCTATTGATCTATCTATCTATCTATCTATCTATCATCTCATTTATCTGTCTCTCTAACCTTTCCCAGAAATCCCCCGCTTGATTTATTTTTAAACTTCTCTTGCCCCTCGGGGTGCCTCCCTCCACTTTCCGCCCACCCCAGCTGGGCCTGGAAAACATCTTCTTGGGCCTCTAGTTCCCCGACGAGCCGCAGACGGGTGTGAAAAAAGGAAGCCGCTCGTTCGAAGGGTATCTGTGGCTAATATTTTATACATGTTTTCTTTTCTGGAGTCCCCGGAGCAATTCAGGGCTGAGAAAGCCCCAAGGGAGAAGGGACGTTGTCTTTCAAGGTGGAAGCGGCTGGGAGGGGAGGAAAAAATCATCCCACAAAACCAAACGATCCCGATTCAGATCCAATTCGGGGTCGGATCTTTTCCTGCCGATCCTTCCGTGGACTCCTCAATCGATTCTGCCACCGATCCCTACAAAAGCAAAGAACCTCATCACTCAAAGCAACCAGATACTAAGGGCTACTAACCTAATTAGACTTTAATCTCACCGCTCCACAAAAGGTTTCAGAGGTCAGTTACAGATTGGCGAAGGGTTTTGTTCCTCTCTTCAGGAATTGACCAAAGATTCGGACTCTTCCCTGGACCTCAAGCCCTAGGACCCCATTGCGACCCATGGCTCTGGACCTTCTTCCGCTTAGTGACTCAAGTCATGGCAAAGATCCGCTAGACGAGCCATGGAGAAGCTTCCAGCGTTTGGTCCAGTCTGAGGTTCTCCAGTCAGGACAGTGGGAAGGTTCCGTTGTGGCCCGACTCGGACAATGAGGAGGTTAGGGAGGAGCCCGGGCCAGTCCTGGAGTCTGGGGAAGGCTCGGACCAGGGCTCTGCTTAGGAGGCAGAGATGGGGCCAGGGCCGTCGGACGGTTATCAGCTACCTTCGGAGTTGAAGATCAGTGGGGAAGAAGAACAGCTGGAGCCTGTTCCCAGTGGGCGCATGCACAGAGCTGCCAGGAGAAGGGGACAGCTAACGAACAAGGGTCGACTCGGGAGTAAA